CGTTAGTCCGGCAAAATGCAACTCCCTGCTGTGTTTTAATGCATAGGGTTGTGTCGGTCGGGGGGGTGAGGGGGTGCAGGGGGCATGTTGTAGGCGTGTACGATATGGCCATGTTGCACCGAGTTGACATGAGCGGCCTCATTCATGTTTCCAGCCTGTGAGTTTTCATTGTGTTTTGCATAATGCACGGTGTGTCATTATGGTGTGTTAACTGTGGCCCACATTCGACAGCGAATAGCGGTGAATGCTAACAAGGTAAACAAAGGAGTCTTCTTCCCCTGGGCGTCCACGTCCACTGGATTGTCCCCGTACGAGATTGGTCAACGCAGCGCCTTTACCAGATGATGTCACCGTCCTGTGTGATGAGGGTGAAAACAGCATAGAAGGTCACAGCCTCAGTTAGAAGCTCATACACAGTTCGTGCACAGTCCTAAGGTCTGAAGAGCCTCATGTGAAATCCTACAGGAGAGAAGCCGGTCAGCCGAGTCTGTGGCCGAACCTTTACAGTGCTTGTATACAGTTGCCTTTTACTGCATGTGATAATTCACAGTCAGGAAGTAGAACTGAAGGGACAGTCACTAAAAGATGATTAGTTAAAACATTTCAAAATGCACCTGCACTGTTTTGCACTTTGTGAATTTAATTCAAATAAAAGACTATTTCATCATTGAAGATCTCTTAAAAACGGTGTTCAAATCTTGTCTTGTTCTTGTGAACCCAGTATCATCTCATCTCGTGAGGTAAATGTGTCGTCACACCCCTGTTCAGCACAGTCACAAAGATGTCTTATGTTAAAACATAAATGAACTTTAGTTCAGTGCTTGTTTCCGAGATAATTTCAAAGATGAGAATGTCAGACTTGCTAAATGGTGTCAATGGACAGCATGGATCATACGAATGTGGCAGTAGTTATCACACTGGCTCAACCAGTCTGCAACAGTGTTCAATATATTATTCCAGTTCAATTGTTAAACTGTGAAATTCAGGCAGAAGATATGGGAGGCTAGTTTTACACAGTGCAAGTGTCTCATTTCAGGTGATAATGAAATGTCCTACACTTCCACAATGTGGTTGTAAGGATGCAGTAAATGCGGATCACACTATGGTGTGACAGCTGGGGTTGTCAGTACAGATGCCTCCTGTTCTCACATTGACCCTGTGGTTTGCAAACTCCCTCATCTCGGAGTGTCACTAAACAAACAGACCTTGCAGTGAGAGCTCCTGCATTTGCTTGCAGCGACGTGTTCGGCACCGGGTCTGATTTGAATGAGGCAGACTGTAATACGGAAATGTTAGCGTGAGTGCAGGTTTGTTCCTGTGTGTCAGGGGAAGTGAACTGGCTGCACAGTCCTCCGAAGCACCTGTTGATGTTGGTACTTGGTCTGTTTAACATTGCAGCAGCATCTGAAATGAAATGGGCGTTGACTGTGTCAGTGGCCTTGTCATCAGGTTGAGACATGTTGTTAACAGCTGCTCACTGCTTCCTGTAGTTTCTTCTCCTGAAATGAGTCGTATTTATTTTCCACTTAAAATGCTGTGGTCTGAGCAGTTGTGTTTCATCTCTGGCCAGGATGATTTTCATTTGTGTACTAATGCTAGAGGACGTTGGTTTAATATATGAGAAACCTACTTTTCGCTGTGGTATAAACGTGACACATATTAGGAATGAGCTGCTACTGTACCTACTGCACATCACGGTGTGGACTCAGTCTTCCTTCATGAAGGTGATGAGTTCAAACTGAGATCAGATGTGGATTTTGCTGCTGTTGAACTGCACTGCAAAATGTTATTTCCTATATTCAGCCTTGTTTGATTTAAATGGGGTGGACAAAATGTTGTGGTCAGCTGAACGTGTCCACCCCTGAAGTCAGTTGCAAAGAAAAGCAGTTGTAGCCAGAGCCCGTTTACCAGCAGTCCACACAGCCAGAGCAGCAGCAGCTGCTGCTCAGCTGAAGCTGGCACTTTCCCAGGAGCTCTTCCTCCTCTTGCAGCTCAGCAGAGGCTGGTGTAAATCACAGAGAGCCTGACAGCCTGTTAATATCTGGGAAGGCCTTGCTCAGCCTGGGACGTGTAGTTTATAGTCCAGTAGAGTCAGAAGATGCTTGCTAGCATCTGTGTTGAGCTGTAAAGGGTCCAGGCCAAGTTTCCATTGGAGCAGCCGGGATGATTTGTCCTGCTGATGGGGAACAGACCGACTGGTTCTTGGGCTCATTTCCATATAAAAAGGCTGTTCTCCGGCTCCCAGCCTGCGGAGGTCCTGCCGCCACACCACCTTTTATTCAATGATGGTGCTGTAGGTCCAGTTCATCCACTCAGTCCACTGATCTGGAGCAATCTATCGATTGACCCTGCGATCTCATGACATTGACGCAAAATGTAAACGGATGTTTACATTTTGTAGTACAGTCAGCGAATCTGTGTTTTGTGTGCTTTTATGTTGACAGCCAGTCAGCCATTCGGTTAAGGGCTGTCTTTTTTCCAAATTGGTCAACAAGCGCCAGGCGGTGCAACTGGCACTCTGAGACTAGGAATTCACACAGACTGTCACGTGAGCAGTGCATAAGCTACTTGAAGCATTTGATCTATTCAGTCCACACGGCCTCCATCCTGCAGCCTCACTGTCGTCAGAACAGCTGTCTGTCTGTAGAGCTGCATGATACAGTGGGTACGGAAAGTATTCAGACCCCCTTAAATTTTTCACTCTTTGTTATATTGCAGCCATATGCTAAAATCATTTAAGTTCATTTTTTTCCTCATTAATGTACACACAGCACCCCATATTGACAGAAAAACACAGAATTTTTGACATTTTTGCAGATTTATTAAAAAAGAAAAACTGAAATATCACATGGTCATAAGTATTCAGACCCTTTGCTCAGTATTTAGTAGAAGCACCCTTTGGAGCTAATACAGCCATGAGTCTTTTTAGGAATGATGCAACAAGTTTTTCACACCTGCATTTGGGGATACTCTGCCATTCCTCCTTGCAGATCCTCTCCAGTTCTGTCAGGTTGGATGGTAAACATTGGTTGACATTTTCAGGTCTCTCCAGAGATGCTAAATTGGGTTTAAGCCAGGGCTCTGGCTGGGCCATTCAAGAACAGTCACGGAGTTGTTGGGAAGCCACTCCGTTATTTTAGCTGTGTGCTTAGGGCCATTGTCTTGTTGGAAGGTGAACCTTCGGCCCAGTCTGAGGTCCTGAGCACTCTGGAGAAGGTTTTCGTCCAGGATATCCCTGTACTTGGCCGCATTCACCCTTCCCTCGATTGCAACCAGTCGTCCGGTCCCTGCAGCTGAAAAACACCCCCATAGCAGGATGCTGCCACCACCATGCTTCACTGTTGGGACTGTATTGGACAGGTGATGAGCAGTGCCTGGTTTTCTCCACACATACCGCTTAGAATTAAGGCCAAAAAGTTCTATCTTGGTCTCATCAGACCAGAGAATCTTATTTCTCACCATCTTGGAGTCCTTCAGGTGTTTTTTAGCAAACTCCATGCAGGCTTTCATGTGTCTTGCACTGAGGAGAGGCTTCCGTCGGGCCACTCTGCCATAAAGCCTCGACTGGGGGAGGGCTGCAGTGATGGGTGGCTTTCTACAACTTTCTCCCATCTCCCGACTGCATCTCTGGAGCTCAGCCACAGTCATCTTTGGGTTCTTCTGTACTTCTCTCACCAAGGCTCTTCTCCCCCGATAGCTCAGTTTGGCCGGACGGCCAGCTCTAGGAAGGGTTCTGGTCGTCCCCAACGTCTTCCATTTAAGGATTATGGAGGCCACTGTGCTCTTAGGAACCTTAAGTGCAGCAGAAATTTTTTTTTGTAACCTTGGCCAGATCTGTGCCTTGCCACAATTCTGTCTGTGAGCTCTTCAGGCAGTTCCTTTGACCTCATGATTCTCATTTGCTCTGACGTGCACTGTGAGCTGTAGGGTCTTATATAGACAGGTGTGTGGCTTTCCTAATCACGTCCAATCAGTATAATCAAACACAGCTGGACTCAAATGAAGGTGTAGAACCATCTCAGGGATGATCAGAAGAAATGGACAGCACCTAAGTTAAATATATGAGTGTCACAGCAAAGGGTTTGAATACTTATGACCATGTGATATTTCAGTTTTTCTTTTTTAATAAATCTGCAAAAATGTCAAACATTCTGTGTTTTTCTATCAATATGGGGTGCTGTGTGTACATAAATGAGGAAAAAAATGAACTTAAATGATTTTAGCATATGGCTGCAATATAACAAAGAGTGAAAAATTTAAGGGGGTCTGAATACTTTCCGTACCCACTGTATATCGAGTTTATAAGATGTATTGATACAAATTCAAATGAGGTGCAGGGTGAGACATTATTGTTTTTATCTATTGATGCTGCGTTACCTAACCTGTTTTACCTGTTGGCGTTTGCATTTCTCCTCTCCCACACCGCCCCCACTTCCTGTCTGTGCTGCTCCACTGTTGCTCACAACTTGCATGGGAGACACAGCACAGGTCTACACTACTGAAGAAGCCCTGGTTTGTGAAACATCTCAAATCTTTTCCATTTACAACAGCATCATAAACTGCAAGAGCGTGTTAACTTTGTGCCGCTGCTGCAGCCCCGGCCACGAGGCCTTCGCTACTTGAAAAGTCCTCGGCTCTGAAAGAGCCATCTTCATTTACCCATGGTACTCCTTATGAAGAGTGCAAAGATATGCCCCCTGTTGCAGCAGTGGAACAAGGCGGCTAACTAAATAGTACTGTGAATATCAGATGGTCAAAGACAAGTGTTTTTTTTTTTTTTTGTTTTTTTTTTATTACTTTGTTCACAGATGCCTGAATCAGTTCATTATAAGTTTCAAGGTCTTAGAACATTTGGACTATGAGCATTGCATGTCGTTTCCTTCAGCTGTGTGACTATTGAGTTACTAAAAACCTGAGACAGATCAATGAACGTAATCAGCAACTCTTGGCTTGTTCCTGCTGCTGTGCCCAGTCTAACCTGCTGTTTGTCCTGTGTGCAGGAGGCAATGTGGGGAGCCGGCACGAGGCACGGGGTCCAGCCCTGAGGAGGCGTCCTGCGGCTGGGAGGAGCGTGGCCCTCCTGTGGCCCTCCTGCGGCGCTCTGGGACACTCCTACTAAGATGTCCCTCAGCAGCGGCCCTGCAGGCGGGAAAGGTGTGGACTCCAACGCAGTGGACACGTATGACAGTGGCGATGAGTGGGATATCGGTGTTGGTAATTTGATCATTGACCTGGATGCCGACTTGGAGAAGGACAAACTAGAGATGTCGAGCAGTAAGGAGGGAGGGAGCATGGGTGCCCCTCCCAGTGCTGTGGCAGCTTTACCGGACAATATAAAGTTTGTTAGTCCTGTAGCCGCGCAGGGCAAAGAGAGCAAATCAAAATCCAAACGTAGTAAAAACTCTAAGGAGAGCATTAAGGCCCCAGCCTCAGATGGAGCTAAAAAAGAGGCTCAGGGTCGGACCCCAGGGGACCTGCAGCCCCAAAACCCCAACTCTACCCCAGCTAAGGGAACTGACAAGTCCAGTAAACCCCCCCGTACCCTCCCTGCTGTGAAAAAGGACAAAGATGGGGTGTCTGGGAAGATTAAGAAGGAGAAAATGGATGTTGTGGCCACTGGAGTAGTTAACACAGAGAAAGAGTCTGGGGCTCCCATCCCCCCATTAGGGGCCCCTCGCAGTGGCCCATTTGAGGGCCAACAGAACCCTGACTTGGCTGCTGTCGAGCAGCTTGGGAATCTGGCCCTGGACTCGGCAGTGATGGGGCAGCCCGTCGCCATGGTAGAGCAGGAGGAAATGGACGGCAGTGAAGGCAGAAGTCTGAAGAAAGTCGTCGGTGGTGAGAAGGTAAGAGGAAGCCAGCACGGTTTCTGGTTTACTGAGACCTGAATACAAAGTTATAATGCTGCTTGCTGTGGTTGGTGCCTTGCTAAAGGACATGTGGGCACATCTATGTGCCAACACAGAGGGATTTTTCACTCTTCCCTTTATTCTCCCCTGTGGCATTTATACAGTACTGAGCCAAAACCATTGGATTTGGTGTTTTAACAGTGTTATGAGGACTATATATATTTATTTATGTGTACAGAGCATTAAAAAGCACAAACATGTTCGAAAAATCTCAGTAAAGAAACTGGATACTCCAGATGCGGTGTTCAAGTTGTTCTAAAGAAGAATCCACAGAGGTCGAGTATAGAGGTGTGATGAGATCTCACGATATTAAAAAGTGACTATTGTCGAGGCAAAACCTGTCTCACGATATCAGTACATAACAGAGCCAGAGCGGAGTGTAACGTATGTTCACATTAACAAATCTCCCTGCTGTGTTTTAATGCACAGGGCTGAGGTGAAGAGAAAAACATCTTAATTTGATGCAGGCCAAGCTGCTGTCAGCTCTCCGCTGGCTGAGACGTGCCAGAGTTCACTGTCACTCCTTGAGCAGTTCACCAAACTGCTGTTGAACAAACAGAACACCAACTGGCAGAAAAAAAATCAACTCACCTGGTCCCTGTTCACCTGCT